ATACGTACACACTAAAACTATTTGATGATTATATATTTTTCCGCATTGGAGTACACAGTTTTGTGTGCTTATCCTGTTATCAATACAATCTCAATAAAATGAAATAATAACAAAAACAAATATTTACAAGTGACCCCGCATAAAACGAAAATTCGAACAAATATTGAGATTTATAACAAAATAGTTTTAAGTAAAATAATCTGTTCACGCTATTAATGCGCTTTAGTACACTAGTATTGCACTATCTGTTAATATTCTCTTTATTCTTAGAAATAATTGTTGGAAATTTTGCCAATCTAGATAATATAAAGTTGTTTGTTTGTTTGGGGTTTTTTTTGTTGTTTTTTTTTTCTTAAAAAAAATAGATGTTACCATTCAAGTAGGCCTTACTTCAATATGTTATTTTCTGAAACAATAACTGTATGAGAAAATAAAGTTAACTTTATTTGAGTAATTAAGAGCGATGTGAAGAACGTTTATTGTTATTATTACTGTATTATTGATAACGTAATTATAACACTTTTGATTCTGACAATAAATAGTCTTACTTGTTCAATATGTATGAGTTTGCATTTGTTGATTACAAATTGGCGGTTTTCTCTATCGTAAACAAATTATTTGATTACATGTAAAGATGAAGCTAAAATTCATTTAACTGATACAAAAATGTTTAATATAACACTTTTCTGTCAACGAAAAAAAACATTCACCAAACTTTATATCTTAGGTTGTTATTGACGTTGGAATATTACGTATTCGGAATTCATTACTCTCAAAATGTTTTAGTGTAGTTAAAAGGCAACTGTATTACAACATCGTTCTTACATTAAAAACTGAATATTATCTTATACGATGTATGTTTGGTTTTTGTCGTTAGCATTACCCTTAACTGAAGAAAATGATGACTGCAATTAAATAAATGTCAACGGTATCTTTATTCTATGAAAGATTCTCTTTTACCAAAGACTAATGTTGATGAATCATTGGCAGATTTCTTCAATGAGAAAGGAGTATATATTTCAGAATAATGGGATTAATATATTTGACAGAAAAGTGAAGCAACATATATTTTACAGACAATATCTACTTTGATGTTATGCACAGAAAAATTAAAAGATAAGATCGATATAAAATTCAATATCCAAATACTAATCTGCTTTAACCATTTTCCACAAAATTTCTAAAGTTGGTATATGTTTATAATGTTTGTATGTTTGTTTGTTTTTTGCTGCATTAGAATTGAATCTTATCTAAGGAATAATTGAAACAAACAAGCTGGGTCTGGTACGTTCTATTGTGTTCTTTCATTACGGTTTATTGTATTAACATCATAATCTTAATCAGACACGCACTGTAAAAGTTCACTTGCACTCATGTCGTACTAAATATTTCCTTAGACCAAAATATTGATACCATTATAACAAAATGCTAACAAGTAATGAAAATATTTTCTCGCCAAAGTTTTGACTGTCCGTAATACATTTTAAGACAAGTAGTCTCTGGACCAAAAACTTTGATTATAGTGTTTAATAAATAATGGTTTTAGTGCTTTTAACTATGCCGGTTAATTCACAATTAATTAGAAACATATTATAAGGAATGTGTGAGTATTTGCGTTTATTTATACTTGCAACCGGTTTCCGATATGGGCGAGTCCTCCGGAAGAGTATTAGTCATTTTAGATTTTGGAGGATAGTAAAATTACAGATACAGAAAGACGCCCCGATTCCAGAAGCTTCTCATGGCTCTTTAGCGTGCCAACACGAGACCTCGATTTAAAGTCTCATCCGCAAGACTGATTAGTAATTTTAGCTGGCCAGCCCGGGAATCGAACCCGCAATGTCGAGATTACAAGTCTCGCGCTCTAACCGATTAAGCTATGCAGACTGGCTGATAAGGAATGTTTTTAATGTTCAATGTATAAGTGTAAGTAATTTGATACAGCAAACAAAACTATTGTGCCAGTTATTTCATACGTATTTGGCCCTATCTTAAAGTTGGGATCTAAAACGTGGTGTTTAGCAAAACTTAAGGAAATAAACATTCATTTGAGATTATGAAGGTTAAGCACGAATATTTGTTTCTGTTCTTTATTTATTTGCAGATGAAGAAGGTTAGAATTAAGAACGAATACTTTTATACCTGTCATTTCGTATGAGACGATTATCTATTAATGCCCTTAGAATACAAACTGGAAAAAAATGTCACTAAAAATGTTCGTCGTGAACAGTGTTATTATCAGTGATGTAATATTTTAGATTTAGAAGATGAGTATCATTTTGTATGTGCATATCCAAAATGTTATTATTATGATAGGATGACAATCTAAATTGAAATTTATTAAATAACTTTGTATAGTAACAAACATATATTTATAATTGTATACAGACATACAGGTGAAGCTTAGACATTAAAGAGTCAATTTAGAATTTTGAGCAGTTGTTCAATAGTTTATTTTCCTATACAGGGTGTGCCCTTTTAAAACAGTTTATGGATTCATATGCTTGCCACGCATATCTTTATATGAAATGTTGTATAATATATGCTTTATTACATGTATATTTAAATAAGGCAAATAAAACTATATCTTCCCTGTTCTGTTCTGAACTACGTACAAATCAATCAAGTTATATTGTTGGGTCAATTAACAAAATAATATCATTCTGTGGGAATGGCAAGAAATCTTGCACACAAGTTATTTGTTCTGTCCTATATCAATTTGTACACAAATATTTCCAGTCACGTTATGTCTTAAATGCTTCAGTGGAGTCTCTTTCTCTTAAACAACAAATCTATCAAATCCTATCAAGGTTTTCAAGTTTTATGACCCTGGTGAAATAAAATATCGTTAATTTTTAAGGCGAGTTATGGCACATTTAACAGAATATAGAGTTGATAAATAAATCCGATTTTAGCTCGTATTGGTAAATTTGAAATGACCACCTGAGTGCACTAAAAACAATTTTAAAAAATCCTTTCATGATACAGGCTTGAAGCTCTTAGCTCAAACTTTTTTATTCTTTCTTCTTTAGCTAAAATTTAGCGGTCATTTAACAATTAATTTCGCTGATAATTGTCAATAAAAAAGAAAATACTACTAGTAAGTACATTCGCAGGATATATTGCCTTTTCACGATTTGCATTATCCGTTAAAACAAATTTACGGCATAAATATAGTGTATACGTCATACTTTAGTAAAGAAAGTTTATACACCCATTACTTGGTATTACTTTACTAACCGCAGCAGTTTTGAGAACTTTACTTTAAATACATTTTGTTGTTTTGTTGTTATCACGAAATAATATATCGCTTTTATTTCAAGAATGATCTAGAGTTTGATCATTTTTGTCACTTAAGGTATACACTTCAGACTAAGGTAGTATTTTGTCATTTTTACGCCCGATGTATTTTAAATTCTTTTTTTAAAGTCTTCATAGATAAACAAGAGCGATCAGTGATCACATGTGTCGCCTCATGATGGCCTATTTTATGTTGGGACAAGTTTTGTGAGAGACGGACAGACAGACGGACAGTGAAAAACTAGACTTGGTATTGATCGTTCCTGTAAAGTTTGGATAAAATTGCACCAGAAGTTTATAAGGAGTAGTCCGGACAAGCTTTTGTGTATCTGGCAACACACAGATAAAACACCTTTTTATCAAAGGGCCACAACTCAGCCAAAAATCATTCAATCGGAAAACCCGAGCAATATGCGCAAGTACTTGAGCTACAGATCAATCCTGTAAAGTTTCATTGAAATTGCATTAGTGGTATAAGAGAAGTAGTCCGGATAAAAATTATTAAAGGGCCATAACTCTGACAAAAATCATTGTACCGGAAAATGCTGACAATATGCACAACAAGACTTGGTACAGATCATTCCTGTAAAGTTTGGATGAAATTGCACCAGTAGTTTATTAGGAGTAGTCCGGACAAGCTTTTGTGTATCTGGCAACACACAGAAAAACACCTTCTTATCAAAGGGCCCTAACTCGGTAAAAAATCATTCAACCGGATAACCCGTGCCATATGCACAAGGACTTGAGCTACAGATCAATCCTGTAAAGTTTCATTGAAATTGCATTAGTGGTATAAGAGAAGTAGTCCCGACAATTTTTAAAAATAAAAATTATTAAAGGGCCATAACTCTGACAAAAATCATTGAACCGGGAAATGCTGACAATATGCACAACCAGACTTGGTACTGATCATTCCTGTAAAGTTTGGATGAAATTGCACCAGTAGTTTATGCGGAGTGGTCCGGACAAGTTTTGTGACAGACAGACGGACAGACAGACGACAGAGAAGTGATCCCTATATGTCGCCACTACTCCGTAGAGGCGACACAAAAAGATACAAAGACAATAAAACATTTTTTAGTCATACGAATTATAACAAACTATTAATTTGCAAATAAGAGAAAGAACTCTCTGGTACATAAATGCCTTTTTGTTGCAGATTTACCTCCTTTATTTCTACATACCTAAAGACTTTACACATTTTGCATCTATATTTTAAGCATCATCATTCATTTAATATCATTTTATGAACATTTAGATATTGCATTGTGTATCTTATCAGCTTTTTCAAAACCTGAATGATACAAAAGCGGACGACAACCATTTATTGCCAAAAAACCTTATATGAATAGTAAAATGTAGCAAACCTCTACTTCAAACTAAAAATGATCAGTCATTTCCCGCTATCCAAAGGGAATTACGTTATATATAACGTAACATTTTTACTTGCAAATACATGAACATACTAACATATCAGCAATGTTCTTTTTTATAAATGGGACGTTGAAAAATTAAGACATATGGTTTGCACTATTCAAATATACAAACCTGTTCGAATAAACATTGATCCTAAAGAGATTTTCATGTGTAATAGAATATAAAAAAGCAATACGAGAACACAAATGTGTTTTAATTGGTAAAAATCATATGATATACATAACGTGAATTACAATGAAAAGATAGTAAGTTTTCAAATAGTCTGATTTGCAATGTTTCAAAAGTCATAAAAATGATACATTATAAAAGTTTATCATATTATCATTTAAATGTTTGCATGCATGGGGAGGAAGGTAGTCTAGTACTGGTGTAACTCTCCAGGAACGATGGTTAGGAAACTACCCGCCTATATTACTGAAATACTGTAGGCAAAAGGCGTAAAATGAAACAAACAACAAGCATGCGGTAACCATTATATATATTTTCGGTTTCATTTTTTTATTTGAAGATAGATACACCGAGGGATAAGTAATTACTTTTGTAGAACATGAGAAAATTAGCAAAAATGCGTTAACACTGTATTAAGGTTTAACAGACGAAGCCACAACTTAAAAAGTTCTGGTTAAAAACAGTATCAAAATCAAAAGTATTTAAAGTAACACAATTATAAGTTTTTGTATTGCAATTTTATTATATTTGCTTTATATCTGAACGAAATGTGCTTGTATATTCTAAACTGGCAATACCTAGTCTTTGCAGTTAGGTTTCCCTCTAGATTATCCATGTTTCGTGCCAATAGGACAGGCTGTGAATAAATCAAAAATAGAATATCATTTCTATAAAAAACGTTGTATTAAAAATTAGATCCAAATGGAAAAGGATTTAAAGATTTATGCTTGATAGTATAAGTTTTTTCCGACTATTTTGATAACCCTATTACGTTAAACAGTTATGCCCAGAAAATAAAATGAATGAAAATAAGCAAAACAACATTATTTTTCTTACAGATTATGGCTGGTGATAAAAAAGAATATATATAAATATTAACCTATATATCGGTTGCAAAATTGATAGTATTTTATTAATATTTGGAAAGGGTAAATATTTTTCTAACTTTAATGTCAACTTAATCGTTTTGTTCTTTCTTTGGTAATAATTTATGATAAAAACTCACGTTTCCCATGGGGTATTCTTTTAAGCTCGTTTATTGAAATTCCAAATATATTTTGAAGTGCAGATTCTATCCTTTCTAAGACATCCTTAGACAACTTCATTTGTCGAGTTTTTACATACAGCCATGGATCAGCACACGTTTGATCAAGCGTAGACCATTTTGTGCAACCCCAATCTATTGAAAACCCTATGTAGTCCGTTGCTACTATATTCACCTTGCCCGACCAATTGTCACCTGAAAGGTCATCATACTTTGTTGTAAAACTGGAATGGTTTATAGTCACAAGATCGGTACAAAACTACTGTAACTGGAGAAAAAGATACATTCCCTTCATATTAAATAATATATTGATTAAACCAGAAGGACCAGACATCACTTACTGAGACAGGCAAACTGCCATACATTGAAGATATAATGAACGTTGTAAAATCTTTTACAACGACAACACTGACATAAGCAGTATTCAATTTCTAACACAATTATGTATTGGAATCAATGACCCTTAAGCAACAGATGATAATATATAGCTTCAAAAAGAAGAAAGAACCGACTCTCACAGATGCAAAAACCTGTAAACCTGTTATCCCGACTAAGATTTAAGCAAAAGCCAAAGTGGATTTGTGACATACCGTAAGAATTACATGTCCGGCTAATATCGGACAGCCTGAAATAACCGAAAGTTTTAGGTTAAAAAGACAGTTAACGGCCAAGAAGAGCTTACCAATAAGGTCTTCGCCATAAAATCGTCCGGTGCCTGTTACAGTATAAAGTGATGTCATTGTGTTGCAAACATTGCGATTTCTGTAACGAAGAATATAATGCAAACGCATTTGCGGGTGTATTGACGTGTGGTATGTTTGGTGGCGTACATATAGCAGATTTAAAACTACATATTTACTGAAAATATTGAAACTTTGATTGATCTTAAAACGTGATATTAACATAAACGCTTAAAGCCAAAAATAAAGTAGATAATTCGAAAATGAGATCAGGTACTCAAAGTTTTTGTTCAAATTGTTTCTGTTTTCATACTTTGGATTATGCAAGATACAAAAAGATCGTTACCATCAGTATAAGAACGTTATATAGTGACATATTGTAAGCAATATTCTTATTGATGAATATGTTTCTGTTTTCCTTCTTGTCATCTTTGTCACTAGAAAATTTTTAGTATGTTGAAAAATTTTAATTTAAAGAATTTGCTTATCATGAAAGGCCGTTTCAATAGCAGCAATATTCGTACGAAGTTCATGAGGTATTAAAGCAATGGCAACGAATGTTTAACGTTTATAAACCAACGGCATACACTTGCAGACAAATCATTACGAAAGGTAACTTTAGCATGCAAATTCTAATTTTATAAGTACATTGAGCATTGTCAGAACGCTCTTATCAGATCTGTAGTATTTTCATGATATTTATTTAAAGGAATAGGCTTTTTTCTGATCAACTGTCTTAGCTTAAATTAAAATATGTACATTGCTAAATAATAATTTATTTGAATTATCTCTGCTGTGACTCATCTAACAGTTTTAGAGCAACAAATTTAATAGGAATCAGTCATAAGCAAATCAAATCAGACTTAGAATAATGTGTGTAGAATTAAACAAAATGTTTTGTTATACACAATCCTTACATCGTTTGTTGTGTTATATGCATTTCTACCTTGTGACTAACAATGCTAAAAGCTCGTCACACTTTGGAAAATATTTGTAACAAATAGTTCTCTTAAGTTTACCTTTCGTATACTTACAACTACAACTATCGTTGCAAATATTACAATAGTTTCCGGTCTACATTCAACAGAATTTACTATTTTTATCAGATTCGTGCGAGGACCCCTTAAGTTTGAGGGTCTTCTGAATCACAAAAATAAGGGGCCAGTTACACAGACGGTCGGTCGCCAATCGGTCATTCAATTTTACATTTACTCGCTGTTATGATCGGTTGTCATGCGTGATTTAATTTCTGGTTTTCTGCGTAAACGGCCATCGGTGACAGAAAGCAAACTCAAACGGGGTTGGGTCGGTGATAAAAATGCTGAAATACTATCGTTTTTTATCGTTCTTAAATCGGAGATAAATCGTGCGTAACGCTGATTAATCGGTGTTTGATAGCTAGTCATCAGTGGTTAAACATTTTCCGTCAGATATGGCCGGTGATTCATATTTGGTTATCATTGTCCGATCGGCGATATCGGTGATTAAGTGCTTGCATATCTCTTGATATAGGTTGCTGTCGGTTATTTGTTAAAATATTTTCACCGATCGAGAATTTCAAACATGTTTAAAAATCCCAATCGGTAATTTTTCACCTATGAAACTATCTTTCCCCAATAGTAGTTGATAAGTGGAAAACAGGTGACCAAAAGGTGATATCGGTGTTAAATACGTTGTCATCGGTTCACTCCATAATTTGGCTAAAAAAACTACCGATCAATCACCGATGGCTCTGTGTAACTGGGGTGTTACATTACTTAACATTCAACACCTTAACCCCCCCCCCCCCTGCAGCTTTGTACGGACGAGATCACGAGTTTCTAAGCTTAAGTCTCCGGCGAAGTACAAATGTCTCGAAAAAATGTATATCATGAAATAATTCGTATTACTCTAATTCATGTGGGAAAAGATGGGCAGTTAATACACACTAGGAAATGTGTCGATTACTATAACAAGAGATAGTATACACATGTACTTAATTATAGCTAATATAAACATAAGTTCATTAGTTCTACTTTATTTTTGTTTTAACCGAACAAACAATTCATTGATAATAAAAATATGAGCTCCGCCTGAGACTCGAACCAAGAACAGCTTGCATCTCTACACAACTAAGCGATTTAGATTAAACAATGCGAAATCTTTGTGTAATTAAACTATAATAATTAATCAATTACTGTTCTCCTCTTTCGATTTGAAATCGATGTAAATATCCATGCTGGTTTTTATAGGTTAACTTTCATTTTTCTTTATTGTAGAGTGTTTAGAAGTTTTATCTCAGTTCATTTTCGAATGTAATTCTTGAGCGATCGTGTACTTTTTCATATCAACTATTCGTTTTTTTCAACCGAACCCAACAAGCTCTGGTGACCAAGCTTTCGCTTTGTTTTTTCTACAACTAACGTTGAACGGTTGTAATTTCAATTAAAATCAGATCGTGCAAACTCTTTACGTACTGTCGCAAAATCAACTACGTCCGCAGTAATACTACGAGAAAATTAAAAAGATTTTATTTCTTTCGTGGAATTACATCCGTTCTTATCTATCTTTTTTCTGTCACCGAGTACAATTTCTTTTTGAATGGCTAAATCGCGATTAACATAGGTTGTTTAATATAGATAATTATTTTAGCTTCTTTTACAAATACGTTGACTTTTATCAGTTTACCCGTCTTTGTCAGCTAAAAATAACCTTGAATGGAAACATTTAAGGCATACAGTTTATTAAGATAAATTTACTAACGTTAAAAACGTTATGACAATCAACAACATTTTATTATGCACTGAAATTTATCAAACATATTATAAATTTTGCATTTCTTGAAACTAACCTCATTGATTCATGGTTCATCAATATATTACCCTTTCGTAAAAGCAATTGGATATAGTCGGTAAAGTCTTCAGCTATAGCCCAGCTGCACGGTGCTTTTTGGAATTGTTGAAACCATTGGCCAAGCCACTTAAAAAGTAATCACAGCTGTTATTTAGATAACAAGAATGACAATTTTCCTGTGGAAAAAGAAACGGTTCAGTTAAAAAATGCTCGTTATAATATACCATGCCTATATAAGTAGAGTATTATCTTGAACAAAAACTAAAAAGGTGCATAAGACTTTTATCTAATTCAAAAATTATTCTTCCAATGGCATAAACAATCATTTACTTTGAATGTTAATCCATTAAACTATAATTACTCGCAAGTGTTTTTTCTCTTGCCCTTTTTAATTTGGTCTAAATTACTCATGTCATAAAAACATAAGTCTATAATCAAACTTACCATATTCACTTCAAATCCCGGCACTGGCAGAGGCTGTAACTTAAGTTTCTCTTTAACACTTTTAAGTGAAACTCCTGTCGCAAAGGGTTTTATGTGTTGTCCTGTATTCTTATCTTGAGCTGATGTGCATATAATTGCTGATGAAACCAGTAAAATTATGGTTATTTTCATCATTTTTGGCCAGCTCTAAATTCCTTTTCACTTTAAAACGAAGAGAACTTAAACTGATATGAGCATAAACTATCTAAACATGTCTTTAAGTAGTCTCGTTTTACGAGGGGTAATCAAAACGTTTTGTCTCTATGTTAATTACTCGTTTCATAGAATTAGTGAAACAAACAAAGCTGGTAAATAAGTTGAAAAAGGAATATGAAACAGCCATGTAGAGCTGAATAAACATCTTCCAGACAGTTTAATAACAACAGATGAATACATAAAGAAAATAAACAACCCGCGTAGAACACCATTGATTTTACCTTTCAGATATCACATTATCAAGTTATCTTTTTCTTTGTCTAGCATACTTATTTCTTTTTATGTGCCTCTTAACACACTTAATATACGTCTTGAAACCATTTAGAAAGAAGCTGTGCTAGTATGCGTTCTGCTTTCGGTCTTTTTTTACGCTAGTTCTCAAATTGATGACACATTGCATTGATTTTCTGGTAAGGAAATTCTTGCGTGTTGCTACTTGGCTGGTCTTTACACGATCAAGGCGAGAAAATTCTGGCGTGTTGCTGCTTGACTGGTCTTTACACGATCAAGGCAAGAAAATGATGGCGTGTTGCTGCTTGGCTGCTCCTTGCATGATCAGCTTGTTAAATGTACTCGTGTCCCTCTCAAGTGTGTGTACGCCATAAGTAAATATGTTTTTTTTGTCTACAGAATTGTCACCATGATTATAAATGAAAAAGTTCAAGATGCGAGTTTGATATTATATGATAGTGAAGTTATATGAAATAACGACAAGTAAAATACATTCCGTGGGTCTTTACACGGTTATGCAAGCAACTACCTAGACAAGCATCCTGATTAAGTTTGATGACAATTGAGTGAATAAACATGATCACAAGGTTTTTCCATATTTGGGCGGTGTGACCTTGTTTTTGGCCCCTAGGTGATTCATATTCAAATTAGACTTGAAATCATCAAAACAAACTTTCCGACCAATGTCCAGGATATTTTTATCAAAACAGTAGCCACTAGAGTGTTAAAAAGATTTTTCTATTTTTAGCTCCTGTGACTTAGTTTTTCATCCGAGATTACCCATGTTCAAACTCATCCGATCAATTACATAGACAAGCATCCTGACTAAGTTTCCTGAAAAATATATTAAACACATCAGTAACAACGGGAAGAAATCTAAGCTTTATATTTAAGCTTTATATAACATTTTTTTTTATAAAATACGCTATAAACAACTATAACTGTTTAATTAGATTGACTCAAGTTATTATACTCTAATATGGAAAATCGAAATAAGATAATATCAAAAAATCAATTTATATTATATAAACGGATATATGTTTGAAAAGCCTAGAGTATCTTTAATTATTAAACAAACCCTGAAAGACTAAATTTTATTCTTCAAAAATAAAGTAAACCAAAATGTGAACAAGAAAAATAAATTTGTAATAAATTGCATGTGTCAAATAAGAAAATATCGGTAAAATCATCCAACGTTCCTTACAAGGTTTTTTAAAACTCTACAGCACAAATATAACAAGAGAACCAAGATAGCCCTAGATCGCTCACCTGACCCATCAAACTCATCCTCGCAATTACCTAGACACGCATTCTGACCAAGTTTCAAGACATGTATGTCAAAAATGTGATCACTAGAGTGTTAACAAGGATTTGCCATATTTGAGAAGTGTAACCTAGTTTTTAATCCCAGGTGACCCATACTCAAACTTGACCTAGAAATCATTTAAACAAACTTTCAGACCAATTTCCAGGATATTAGGATCAAAAGAGTAGCCACTAGAGTGTTAACAATATTTTTTCTATTTTTAGCTCCTGTGACCTAGTTTTTCATCCGAAATGACTCATTTTCGAACTTATGCAAGCAACTACCTAGACAAGCATCCTGATTAAGTTTGATGACAATTGAGTGAATAAACATGACTACAAGGTTTTTCCATATTTGGGCGGTGTGACCTTGTTTTTGGCCCCTAGGTGATTCATATTCAAATTTGACTTGAAATCATCAAAACAAACTTTCCGACCAATGTCAAGGATATTTTTATCAAAACAGTAGCCACTAGAGTGTTAAAAAGATTTTTCTATTTTTAGCTCCTGTGACTTAGTTTTTCATCCAAGATGACCCATTTTCAAACTAATCCGATCAATTATATAGACAAGCATCCTGACTAAGTTTGTTGACAATTGAGTCAAAAATGTAACCACCAGAGTGTAAACAATATTTTTCAATATTTGGGCGATGTGACCTCCTTTTTGACCCAGGTGACCCATATTCGAACTTGACCTAGAAATCATCAAAACAAACTTTTAGACCAATTCCAGGATATTTTGGTCAAAACAGTAGCCACTAGAGTGTTAACAAGATTTTTCTATTTTTACCTCCTGTGACCTAGGTTTTCTTCCTAGATGACCCATTTTCGAACTCACCCGAGCGATTTCATAAACATGCATTCGGACCAAGTTTGATGACGATTGAGTCAAAAATGTGACCACTAGAGTGTTTACAAGGATTTTGTCTTAGCTCCTGTGACCAAGTTTTTTTATCCGAGATGACACATGTTCGAACTCATTCGAGCTGAGAAAGTTTGATGATGATTGAGGCAAAAATGTGACCGCTCGAGTGTTAACAAACAAGTGTGGACGGACGACAAACGACGGACGACGGACATTTAACGATCCTAAAAGCACACCGTGAGCTAAAAAGCAAAATGAATTAAGGTTCTGACAGCTTCTAATAGTTTTTCTTTTACATTGAAGCAAACTGTACAACAGCTATCTATTTAAATTTATAAATGCAAAGCACGTACATGTTTGAAATTCATTTGCATCATTGGCATTTTTTTGGATTTCTTTGAAAGTAATGAAAGTATTTACAAAGCTGACGAAACTCATTAATTTATTCTTGATTTATCGACAATTTAAAATGATTACTTTTTAGAAGTTTATTGTTTAAATTAACTGTTCAGGTGATTTTTGTTTATGATTTTTATTTGTAGCAATTAACATCTTTAATTTTAAACAGGTTAGACTAATAAACGCAATTGAGGTTATTTATAAATACAAAACACGTACATGTTCGAAGTTCACGTGTTACAGTACCAAAACTATGAACCGAGTTTAATTAAAAAAATCAGTGCAAGACAGATCATGTTGAATATTATTTTTATATTAAAATATACTATATGTATCATGCAGTTTAAAAGGAGTTTCAGATATTTTCCTGTTTTTTTTTGTTTGTTTTTTTTTTGTTGTTTTTTTTGTGTAAATGTAATTATTTCTATTATTTTTCATAATCATTTAGCACGTTAATTGATTTTTGTATTATTGCCTATAATCTATACATAAAATACAATTCAACAAGTTAAGTAAGCCCATTCAATTGTTATTTTATTTTTTTAAGCTTTGTTAAGTTCTCTTGGTTTCCTTCGGTAAAAACATAATTAAGTAAACTAAGCTTAGCTAGGTAATAGATGGAATTGCTGGTACGAATATTTTGAATTGATATGCATTGTTTTGAAGTCTAGAAATGTTTAACTAAATGCCTTTTTAATGCAATCAAATACTTAATTTGTCGTATTCATTATCATTTTATAAGCATTTTATGTTCATAACATCGAGAAAATGCAGTTAACGTTTATTAACAAACGCAAATTATCCCTCACTAAAAGGTACACTTTGATGACGCCTGATACATGTTTTGCTGTCAAACATGCGTACGCAAATCGTTTCGTACCATTCAATTTTGCCTTATGAAATATTAAAAAAAATAATTACTCTTGCAAGTATAATTAGAAGAACCAAAAGTGTGTGTTACTATGAAATGGTGATTTTATCGCCCTCTCGATATAATTCCTCGTATCCGAACTCCAAACAGTGATTTTATTGAGCGACAAAATCATAGTTTGGGATATATTATTTCTTAAATATATATAACAAGAAAAATATGCCGAACAACAACAATTATTTATTGCTTCCAGGGGATCACTGATTTCCAGATTTTAATATTGATAATTCGATATTGCAATTGCTATATTCCCCAGTGAAACGTGCAACAATACTTTGCTGCTTCTTTAACTTTGGACACATCGCTTATTATTCCCAATTAATGCTTATCCGGAGACTGGCGAAAATAGTCAATATGTTGCTATTGGTCGCAAATGCACTTCGACCAACCAGAAATTCTTACTTTCCCGAAATTTAAATTATTAAGCATATCTCCGAAAGCTTCAAAATACCTCGCATGCCTCTTTTTAAGGAAGCAAACAAAATAACTTTTAGATATATTGAATAAATGTCAAAACTTAATAAATGGAACACTCGTTAATGTCTTGATCTAATTTCAAATATCACCCAAAGGGATTTCAAAGGGCACAATTTGTCACACAAATGTATCTCCAAAAAAAATTCCGGAAACAACGTTAGAGTTAGAGTTCACACATTAAGTACCTTTGTTATTTTCAATTATAATTCAGTTTATCAAAAGATATTCCATGCGTATTTGTTGGTAAAACACTTTGTTGTAAGAACGTGATTGAAATCTTTCAAATTCTAATTTGAATAACAGATTGTACGAAATATTTTGCATGTTGTTTTCCCTATTATTATTATTATTATTATTATTATTATTATTATTATTATTATTATTATGGTGTAAAATTATTTATTATTATTATTTTATCATTTCTGAGAATAGTTGTAAAATAAACACATGAAAAAAAATAATATGACAAAATAAATTTTATTTTATTTATTATTTTAATGTTACTATAATGGTTAAAAAAACTATTATAATGATCATTATTATCAGTTGTGAGAACAAGTGTTAATTCAAAACCGTTAAATCAAAAAATTAAATGTAAATTACCTTGTAAAATTAAAAGGTAACATTATTATTCTCCAACATGCAACAACAATAAATTACATATACTGTAGATATAAAACAATCTACGCAGTTTAAGTTTAATTAATGATTTGATTTATAATTCATTACATGCCATTTAAAAGAATGCCGACTAACGATCAATCTCCCCCCTACTTTTCCTAATGCAAGAAAAACGTAAAACGCAATGTCTGATTACTGTGATACAATGGATTTGATAGTAAATACTACAAATAATATTATTCAATTTTGTAAAAAAGGGTAAAATTAGTAGTCCCCTAGAATTTTAGGGAAACATACTTGCGATCGTTGATTACTTTGACTATCCTGGTGTTCAGTTTTCATTTGATGGGACATTTTTAGGCACAAGAAAAACATTAAAGGACTAAAGCAGTCTAGTATGATATATTGTGAACCTTTAGCGTTATATATTATATCTAAAGTTCTGAAATATTGGGGCAAATTGATAAAGTATTAAAAAAAAGATAAAATTTGTCCCATGCCTTAGTTAATGTCAAAAAAAACTATATTCTTCATTTTATGTGGATTTTCATTGTGAATTCTCTTGGTTTGTCAAGTTATTGCTTTTTCAAACAGTTTCCATATCTCAAGTAAAGAGAATAATTTTTTTTAGAATTAAATATCAGTTGAGTCAGCCGGGTTAGCAAACTTCGGTGTATGAATCCAGTCGTAAATGTTAGCTAGAGAAATTCAATAATCTTGCTTATTTTCTCACCATTGTCTTTGATTTTGATAACAAAAATTGCAAATGTTTTATATAAAAAATAGTAACAGGGAATTAAAAAATGGATTTTGTCACAAAAGTTAAAATATTTTGAACGGTGTAAATATACTTGAAAAACATTTGGTACTACTTTTTCAATAACGTACAAAGTAGATAATGGGCATACGAGGGCTGTAACGATAAATGCAACTAGACTAATATCTCGCTTTAACCCCGTTTGTCACGAACTATGTATATGTATCGCATAGATGGCTATTTAAGCTCTCAACTGATACTCATACGGTAATATTAACAATAACCGCTGCATTCTTGTTACATAGGCGATTAACACATTTATTGAAATTCGCGTGTTTGTGTGAACAATGTACTTTCTAGTTCATCTGTCACACAGTGGTTAAAAAATTTAAAAGTGGTGTGGATTTAGTAAAAGATGCACCTCATAATGCCGTTCGAAAAATGCAACTTCGCAAAAAAGATTTAAAAAGTAAAGGATTTGATTACTACTTATGCAAGATTTACAACTAGTAATATAGCTTAATGCGTTGGTATCCCTGTAGGACCGCTCATACAATCCTCAGACGTGATTTAAAAATGAGTAGGTTAAGTGCCAGAATGATACCCCATCTCTTTACAAATGAGCAAAACTTTTATAAGCCTCAAACAATTGTTGAAACAGTTCCCTAAATACAGAAAGCGATTGGCGATGAGACGTGGGTTCACGTTTATGAATCCAAGCTGAAGATAAATAACAAAAAATGGGCAACCAAAGACCTTGGATAGCTAAATGCACCATGAGCATCAAAAAGGTCATGTATATAATTTTCTTTTCCAATAAAGGTCCTGCTATTCAAATTGACATACCACAGGTTAAATCTGTACAAAGGCATAGTTCTTCATGAATTAAGGAAATATTAAAAAAAACCGTCGACAAGTAACTGGTCTCCTTGATGCCAGTTTCTTAATGCTTCGTCACACAAAGCGGCCATTGTACTACGAGAATATCTGAAACAGGAAAATGTTGTTGGGCGCCCTCATTTATTCGTCAGATCTTGCCCTTTGTAACTTTTTCCTATAAACAA